TGACCAGAGGCAGCTCTTATTCTTCATGCTTGTTTCCTCAGGCTGTGTACATCTGTGCTTGAGCAGGCTTCCTTTCTCCAGAACCATTGACACTGCAGAAAATCCCAGCACACTGTTTCATAAAAGCTTCTGCAAGGACTAGATACATTCTAGGCTTCTTTATTTAATAGCTGCTGCAACAGCAATATACTCCTATTGTGCTGCTCTAGTAGAAACACCTTCTTTTAGGATGGCAGAACGTGATTAATTTTTTGATTTGAAGAAAACACAGAGGTTTTTAATTTTCTGGAGTTTGGGCTTTTTTTCAAAACCAGAGTAAAGTGCTCTGCAATAGCTTAGAGAATTCTTTGTGCTCTATTTACTACCCTATTTACTTCATTTCTCTAGGCAGGGCCTTATGAAACACAATTGTCTCTCCCATTCTCTGACTCTGAATCAGTGCTTCTCTCCTCACTGCTTTATTGTAAAGTTTTCCGAGAAATGCATCTAGGTGAAAACTTCAATGGCTTGACAACATCAAGAGATACACTTAAACCTTAGGTCTGATTGTTATACATAAAGATATTAAAACAAATCAGCCTTTCCATCCATGCCTTTCCATCTATCATCTCATAATAGAGAAAAGAGTGATACAACAAAATTACACAGTAGTCTTCAACTCAGATTTCATTATTAATGATGAAGTTAATACTAATAAGAGAGTAAAAAGGTCAATCAATAAGAGACTCGTTATATCATCAATTATTTGTGGAGTTCCAATGAAAAATAAAATCTTCTAGTTAAGTTATAGAACACTTATACACCGAGATATACCTGAAAACAGTCATGAAGGATTTTAAATGCTACTGGCAATTAATTTTTTTAGTTGTATGGACTAGAAACCATTGCTTACTATGTTTTACTTATTCCTATACACATCAAGATATCTTCATGTAATTCAACTCTTATTATACCACTGAAAAAACAACCAAAACCCCTGTTATTAAAAGAAAATCTCAGCTTTCTCTTCTGTAGGGTTACCTTTCAAGTAGTACAGACATGTTACATACAGGAAAGCTGTGATATTAATCGCTTTCCCCTGAGTAGCATTTCCCAAGCAAAGAAAGGAAAAGCAACTTTTTAGAGCCAAAAGCAGTGTTACCTCTATAAAAGTAACTGGTGGAGTGGAGTGGGGTGTCAGAGATGCGAATGACATGATAATGACTTGGTGGGCTTCTGTTAAAAACTAATGAAAGCATTTTTGTTTTCTCTGTATGTATTAGAAAATCTGGCTAAAATTTGGCAGGAGAACATAGGTTTTTCTATGTGTGGCCCCTAAATTAAAAGCCTTTTAAATCGTGCTTAGAATGTCTTTTACACATCACTGTAAAAATACTACTCTGAGATGCAAAGTAAGTAAGCTGTGCTTTATGCAATCCTAGAATCAAATTCATTAACAGTAAATTAAAATTTTAATCAGTACTGTGCTGTGATCTTCTACCATGATTTTTCTTCTTATAATTCTAAATAACACTATACAGAGTATTCAAGATTATTTTTGTATTTTTAATATTATTTGAAGACAATGTACTTGCATTATGCATTAACCAAACATAAGTCTCTCTCATCACAATAAAGTCTTTAGGAAGTATCTTTAATATATCTTCACAGTATATGAAGTAATATATGAAGACAGACAATTTCTTACCGAAAAAGCAATCTGTCAGGGTTCTTGACACCCAGTTCTAGACAGTAAGGTCACTGTCTACAAATATTAATAAGAAATATTTAAAGTGTTCTCATCCACACTGAGGAAAGCATAATTGGCCAGAAATACTTCTGCATTCTTACTTGCCACTTTCAGATATGTGTCTTTTTCCAGGCTGCCTTGTACATCTTAAAATGGCTTTCTTAATAAATAGTTATTGCAATAGCTTTCTTAAGGTATACATTTGGGATGTTAAAAAAAAGACAAAGAATAAAAGCCTCACTAGAACAGAAACTACAAAAGACAGCACTTTGACAAAAGAAATACATAAAATTTCCACATTCAATTGTGTTAAGAGGATACTCAGAGCTCATTAAAAAAATCTGCTATAACTGCTCTGTGGCTTGGAGCAGAGACCTCCTCTCGCCTATTCAGCCTCACTAAAAGCACTCTGCAAGGCCATATACTAGTCCTGAGCTGTAGATATAAGATATTTAAGTGTTTGAAAATAATTTTGCGAACTACACTTTAAGGAGCAGGCTTACGATAAAAACGAAGCCTCAACAAGCTTCTACCACAAACAGTCTCCACTTGACACAGACTGATATTTCATTCTGGAGCCACACAAAGACAATACAAACAACTGGCAAGTCCTTCAACAGCAAGGCAAACAGCTGAGTTTTTATCATTCTTCAAAAAAGCATTAAGATACAATTTACAAGGCTGCAATCCCTTCTTTTCAGAGTTATCCCAAGAAAGGTATAAAGAAAAAACCCATGCGCAAGGTATTTTAGTATTGTCTTATGCTAAAGTAGTCAAGCTGGTTTGGCTGTCCAGGACATATCAGAATGACCTCTGAAACTGACTGAGCTTTAGCATGTACCATTTGTAGGGGTCTTTACCAACTTCTATCATGTTATTTCCTTCTTATTTTTGCAGCTCTCTCTTTCCAACCTACAATCTTCCACATTAAATAAATCAATCATTAAAGAGCTTTGTATTTTCTCGGTTCAGAGGAGAGCATACACCTATTTGGGATTTTTTGCTTAAAAAAAAAAAAAAAGTGTTCTGTGACAGAAATTAACAGCACAAAAATCTTGTTCCGAGCACTTTATATAATGTTATAACACTTTTTCATCTGCAAGGAGCAGAAGAAGCTTTACAGGTTCTGACTGTCTCATCAATACCTACTGTGTTTCATTCCAGGTTTTCCCAAAGACTAACTAGATATGTGCACTATCACACCATCACTGCTAGTAGGGAAAGCATTCTAGGTGAAACAATTTTGATGACTTCTTGATCCACACCAATTGGCTTGGAGTGACAATTTTACCCAATTCCTTTAGCATCTTAACCATGGGTCACCTGAAGAATGTTCAGAAGCTATGAAAAACTCCAAGAAGTTTTGATCCTACATGTTGTTTTGGGGTCAATTTACATTTAAAACAAATAAGTATTTTTTAATATCTTATAGTAAGCACATCATATTTCTTCAAGTGTAAGCTTCTATTTTGTTAATAAATATGATGGTTTTCAGAGAAAGGTGGGTGACCTGACAGCATCCAAGTTGCACTATTTCACCACAAGAATACATAAATGCTTTAAGTTAAGCTATTTCATTATGGTTCTAGCATGACTTAACTTCTCCAAACATTTCTAGTTACAATTTTATCTAAATAAAACAGGTTTAATTCACATATGGAAAAGATAAATGGCAGTCTTTCCTCTTCCCTACACTCTCCCCAAGTTTGAAGCATGGCTACATTCTTCCATCCCCTAATGACATAAAAATTTAGTTCTCTTCCCTGTCCCCACTGAATCTTTTACACCTGATGCAACTGTGCACTTCATGGGTTTCCAAAAGATGGGGCTTTTCTAACATGGCAGGTGTGTCTGCAAACACAGTAGGAATCAGATATGATCAGGTGTTTGTAGTGCTAGAAAGAAATGTACTATTCTCACCATAACTACTGTCAAAAAGAAGAAATACAATGCAGGCCAACTATTGTCAAAAAGAAGAAATACAGTAAAGGATAAGTTCCTGAAGAAAAACTTGCAAAAATGTTATATGTAATTTTGACAGGGCATTTTTGTAACTGCCTTCAAAGTTTGTTTTTTATAAATGCCTGAGCATTTGAGCTAGAACTAGCCAAGGCAAAGACTGGCATTCGAAGTCTGCAGATACCTACAAAGGTTAGCTTGAATTCAAACTCTTTCCTGAAGTTTTTTTACCCAACAGAGAAGCAGTTTGTAAAGCAAGCTTCCACTGTAATTTCACTATCAATCTGTCTAACTGAAAACCTTCCTGTTATTTGGATTTCCAAAAACCTTGAGGATGGGAGGAGCACCTCTGTGCAGGAAGAAAAAAATTTGTACACAAAATTTGTGGTTGCATCTAAGAAACATGTAACACAGCACAGAGAGAAAATGATGTCTACAAGTCATGCAAAAGGTTGCTCCTTTGAGCACTTCAGAGTTATTAACTGTTTTATTATATCATCTTTCCTTATGCTATCTTTCTTCTTCTTAGACACATTTCCAAGGTCACTTTCAGAGTTTACTTGTGATCCTACAAAACCTGCACACTGCTTTATAAACTAGAATATGCCATCTACTGGCAATTTAGTAAATTGGAAGTTCATCCATCACTACTTTAAACATTCTTAAAATTTTACCTGTGCTCAATTTAAATGCAAAACTAAAGAATGAACTCCAGCTAAATCCTTCAGACTGCATTCCAGCACTTGGCATATAAATATTATGAGTATGTTACAAGATATTTAACAACAAATCAGAAAGCAAGTGCTACACTGTAGGTCTGTTCAGCACAACTTTCTGAACCCTGATCAAACTGTTTTTCCTTTTTCTCTGCTGCTATTTTCTTATATTATGACAGGGAATAAAACATCCCCATCTTCTAATCTGAGGTTTCTAGAAAAAAATCAGCTGCAGATTGAACTTAAAGAAAGAACTGTTTAAAAGAGTTTTTAATGGATTTAAAAGATTTTTTTTTTAAGAGTGTAAGATCCATGTTTTAGGAACCCCGTTATAACAGATTAGCTTTTAATGTATACATGTTTCTCAGCATTGCAGTATTACAGTTCAGTAACACAGCTCAACTTCAGCATAAATGTACTTTTCAAAGTAGGTTTCCAAAACTGTTTTTAGGGTCTGGCTACTTTAACGATAGTTTCCACTTCTACAATTTGTTAAGACAGACTGTTGAGGGAGTCCTTTGATACAGAGAACAGGTGCTTTACACACCTGAACCTGCTGCACTAGGTGACCACACAGGAACTGGTGGAGCACGTACATGGAGCACTTTAACCCTGGGAGGACAGCAAAGCTCAGCAGGTGAAGCTGCCAGTCCAGCCGTGCGCAGGCAGCGAGCCGCAGCAGAGCTTCCTCCGCACTGCCGCTGGCCTCTCTGGTACCTGGAGCTGCATAAACTCCTGTTGCCCTTTCACGCTGTCGTTCATGGCTTCGAGAAGAGGAACCCCATCGCGCCCTGCAGAGCAGAAGACATGAGACGGAGGATGCCGGTGAGCGGGAGAACTGTGTGAGGATGATGAGAGCTGCACTTGGGAGGAGCCTGTCGTGGATCCAGCCCCCTCTTCCTCCCCTCCCTTTCGCCCCCTCTTCAGCTATAGAAATGATCTCAAGAAATTTGAAGAAATCCATCCCATATGAATAGACACACAGACCGTGGTAGGCTCACCACTCGGGGGTAATGCATCTAGGCGATACATGTAAATCAACAAAGAAAATAATTAAAATTGCCTTTGTTGCTTAATGCTTCTTATCTTTCTCTGCCTTTCATCATGTGTCAGAACGTGTTCATGACATCATCAACTGTAATTACTGTCTGGCTTTGAAATCTAAAGAAACTAAATTTTCATACTTAAAAATATTGAGTCAGAAATGATGTTCTATCAGTTGGCCTTTAAAACAGTGATACAAATAAGTGCTAGATTTACAGAATCACAGAATATTCTGAGTTGGAAAGAGACCCACAAGGATCATCAAGTCTGACTCCCAAGTGAATGGCCCATGCAGGGATCAAATCTATAGCCCTGATAATATTAACAGCATGCTCTAACATCCAGAATTCTTTTGGCACTAAAGACTATCTCATTCAGTTTTCCAACTTGAGTCTGTGAGGATACATGGCACTTCAAACACCTCATAGTGCAATTTGACATCTTGTCTTACCACAAGAATTAATGTTTTTCCAGAAACAATCTACTCACTCAATCTGCTGATATCTTGACCTGTACATGCTGGTTTTGCCAATACTTATTTTCTAAATTCAGGCATTTTTCAAATAGTTCTGTTAAAAAAAAAATTCTGAGAAGACAGCTGTCTTCCCATTTTTTCTCCCCTTTTGTTAAAATTACTGGTAGAGCAAAAATGAGAGTAAAGGAGGAAAAAAAAAAAGATTTTTCTGTTATGGAAACTTGCTTAGTGTTTTTACTTGAAGTAAAAAACTTGAAGTAAAGAACTTCCAAGTACTTGAACTATTGTAGTGATATTTTGAAAATGTCTGTGACTTTTTAAAGTATTCAACAAGTGTTTAATTTCTCCCATCAGAGATCCAGGGGAGAAATTTACTGGTATACTCCAGCTCCACGCAAGATGGCACTAATGCACTGGCAGCCACAGACAGGTATTACTTTAACGAGACTTCATCAGAGAGAATTGTGACTGATGGGTGTTTCACTGCCTTTCTTTCAAAGCAGGTTACCAAAGATACCATTCATCTTCACCCACTGAGCCCCTTGCAACCAATCAAACCATTTTGATCTGTCCAAATCTTTCCTTGACGAGTGCAGTGGACCTCTGTACTGCAGGTCTGGCAAACCTCTGTGTTACAGAGATCTGCTTTCTGTAGAGGGGTCAACATGATCGTGCAGCAGATTTCAACAATACAAGAATAGATAAGGAAGAGGTGGAGGGGCAGAACTGTGACTTATTGCTAGGAAAAAAGGTACAGGTTTCTGAAGAAAGGACCTAGGATTTAAGAAACAGCACAGAGAATGGAGACTAGTTTCTGTAGGGCATAAGAAGCCACTGTGATTCATGCCTGTGGAAGGGAGGCTGGTTTGAGCTACATCAGACTTCAAACACAGGCAGGAGCCCACCTGCAGTAGGGGCTGCAGCTCTTGCTCCTCTTTGTTGGTACAGCTTGTGGCTGCAGACAAGAATTGAATTATGTGATTTCACTGATATTGTCAATATTCATGGCACCACATGGCATCACTCACAGGGGATATAGCCTCTCCTGTTCCAATTCGCAGTCTGTCAGGTCATAGTACAGAGACCACAGGAAAAAATCAGACAGCATCATATATTGCATGGTGCTGTTAGATTGTCAGCATTCCTGAAGGCAGGCAGTATTTCTCTAGTCCAGAAAGCAACAGGTATTGCTTACATTACAAAAGACCCATGCAAAATTATAAAGACATTTCATTATAACACAAATCTGGCATCCATTAGATAGGCAGTCATGTCTCCTTTGTTCTTGTCATATTTTTAAAAATAATATTTAAATTATAAGGCATATTTTCTCCACAAACAGCTGGTCCAGAAATAATTGAACCTTGGAAATGTTAAGTGTGATACCTAACAAAAAAATGAGTCAACTAAAAATTGAAGTAGTTATAATTTGTGCTGATGCAGATATTCATTAGGTAGTTTATTTGTGATTTATACATGATAAGGAAGAAAGAGGAACACAGAATTAGAACTAAAATAAATATTTGAAAGAAAGCAAGTATATTTTCTCTTATCTTTACATGTAGTACACTTGGATGCATCAGTTTGAATTTTACCATAATGATTTGGATGTTAAATAATTAATTGTTCTCTTCAATTTTATAATCCAGATTGAGTAGGAAACATAGCATGCTAGAGATAGCCTGTAGAACTAGTATCTGGAAAGTAGGCTATATCTGTATCTGAAAGATTATCTACAAAATAAATTCCAAAATCTATCAATCAAAATAGTTAGTTTGAAAGAAACTGAAGAAAGAAATTGAAGATCAATGCCCTGAATTTGTAGAATTTAGCAAGCCAATTTCCTTGTTTTACCACAGTATATTTACTTAAGTACGCTTGAAGTGTACTCACTGTAAACATAGATGACTGGACATTTTAACCCCATAACTAATCATTTAACTTGTGACAGTAACTTTTTTCTTTTCTTTTAGATTTTAGGGATGAATGTTCAGCAAAACAATCCAGATTTTTAATATTTTACACTAATGAAGAAAGATGATTGCAACCTTGTAGATTTTTACCTTTTTTTTTTTGTTGTTCTACTATTTGACTTTCTTGAAAACAGGAATTGTGTGAAGGAAAATCCTAGCAGAACACAGAGCTAAGATAAGCCTGTGGCTTTGACACAGAGTTTTTGTTTGCTGTAGGGGAAATCACTATGTTATCTGGTCTTCATAGTCAACTTAAAGCATTTATCATAAACTAAAAGCTTCCACTTCATTCTGGGAATGTTTTTGTAGTCATATTTTGTTCTTACTGGAAAGAAACTTCACAGCTTGGCTTATGATTATTTTGTCTGGGTAACTCATGTACACCACATAGCTGTGCAAGCAAAGTTGCCATTTACAAATGTCATGTTTATTGCTAAACTATTTCAAGCTTATTAAAATGTGAGCTTCCTCTAAATCCTTTATTTGGGCTCCTACCTGTCTTGAGACCTCTGTGCTTCTCTGTGCTTGTGGAGATGTCTCTGTTGGGCTGATATCCCCTGGGAAGGGCCTGGAAGCAACAGGGACAGCAGTCTTTGTCTATCTGGAGGTAGGTGTGAGAGGTGTGCAGAGGAGTTTTTATAGCATAACCTAATACCTACATCCTTCTTTCTGAGGAAGTCATGTTATATGTTGTTGGAAGATTTGAACACAATTAAACTCATTGCTGGTAAACACCTCCTCATCAATGTACTGTATCAACAGAACACCCAATGGCTTCCAGGAAGGGATTCTTGTGGTTTCTCAAACACCTCCTGGCTTATGGTCCACAAAACCATTAATTTCATACTGCAGGTGGCAGTATGCATAGGGCATAGAGAGCACAGGGTTTGGGTGTCCTTCCCCTCCTTCAGTACACATCTCTGAGATGTGTATGCTACCATGGATCACACTTTTGTATTTGATTTATATTTTACCCTGTAAATACACTCATTAGTAAACTGTTCTTACAACCGCTCTTTAGTTCTTTAGTAATGTCCTGAGTTAATATTGTTATTTCAGGGCTGCTTTCTCAGAAAAGTTATGGCTGAGATTTTGTTAGGATTATGTTTCATAACATAAGAAATATTATTGCAACAAAAAAACTATACACGACAGTGTATGACCAGATCGTATTATCACGTTATTAAATTGGAGGTTTGTCTCCCAGAAGGCTCTTTAAGTGGCAGGGAACAGAGCTATTTAAATAAATTGCTTATTTGTCTCTGGAGAAGCAGGACATAGCTCCTGGAATTTATGGATAGCCTGGATACTGTATCATCACTTCCAGTCTTTTGACACCAGTCATCCTCCGCATGAGTATCTATCAGTCACGCAAGACATGCGTTTAAAGTGAATGATTTCACCACGTTAAAATGAAAGGATAGGAAGAGGCATGGGAAGCAGGGTAGGGTGAGGGTAGTGATCCCGCTTTTGGTTTTGTTTTCTAGAGCTCACTGCTCTTAGGAGAAGAGAAGTTGCCCGGAGAACGCCCCGTTCCGGCGCGGCTGAAGCGCTGGGAAACGTGAGGCGCAGGAGCACGGCGCTGGGTGGGGGTTTCGGGCGGGTTTCCGCGAAGGGCCGCGAGGGGAGCGGTTCTCGGCAGGGCCGCGGCCGGGGCCGGGGTTGGACTCGGGTGTAACACAGTGGTCCGACCGCGGCCTGGCCGAGGTGGGGCGGGAGAGGCTCCGCACAGCTTCGGCGGCCGCGGAGAGAGCCCCAAGCAGGGAGGAGCCGGCCAGCAGCTCCGCGGGGCCGCCGGCGGCTGGAGCCTGTCCCGGTGCCGCGCCGGCCTCGGCCCGCCCTGAGGGGAGCGCGGCGCCCGAGCCTGCCCGGGGCGTTCTTCCTGGGAGCTTTGCTGTCCTTGGGAATGCCCGCTGGCAGGCAGGGCTGAGACAGGTGTCTGGGAAATTGGTTCCAAAACAGGTGAAAAGCCCCAAAACTCAAACTCCACCACCGCAGTTCAGAACTGTGCAGTAAAAATATATTTATATATACGAGTGTGAATATATATAATTTTTTCATATATACGAGTATCTATCTATCTATACAGAGTATCTGTGTATAAACAACAAAATTAAACAACAAGAACTAAAAGAAACTCAACAAAACACAATGCCACCTGTCCTAGTCTTTTATTTGCTGGTAAAAATTTACATGGAAAATGCAACCCTGTGACCTCAAGGCAAGTGCTGAAAAAGCAGAAGCTAATTTCCTGACATTGAAAGGTCACTACATTGAAAGCTGGCTTCTCTGATCTCACAGTATTTTATAAATGTGTTTCAGTTTCTTTCTGTTGCACCTTTTTTTTTTTTTTTTTCTCCACAGAGACAATATAATTTGGCCTTTAGTTTTAATAGTTTTAAAAACTCTTAATAGTTTTTAAAAGCAGCAAAAATGCCAGTGGAAATTAACATTTATCGGTCTCACCCACCCCCTCAATCTTCTAAGGTAGTTTCAGGTTGTTACAACGTAAGTGTTACATTCAGCTATTCTATGGTTTCCACATTCATCTCACACATCAAGTAAAAACATTAACCTTTATCAGTCAGACAAATGATTCCACATTACGTGGTTTTTCTTCTATGACAGATACTGTGAGGAGGCTGTCAAGTGGAAAGAAGAAAACAGTGAAAATATTTTAGAGTGCTCATTTCACAGTATTTTAACTCCTCTGAGAATTTCAGCCCTTTTCTGATGTATGTGAAGACAACTTAAGAGAATGAGTTTACACTGAAACATATGTTTACAGTTGTATTTTGTGCTGTTGACCTGGTTCTTCTACTACAGTCTACAAGTTAATGTGAGTACATCCTTTTGCTTCTAACGCTTGAGGGGGCAGGGGGGGTTCTGTATTCTTAATTGACTTCTAGAATCAAGAAAATTAAAAAGACAGTGCTCTCTGTTTTTTGCTAACATAGTTCATAGGATTAAGAACTCTTTTTTCACTACACTGTAGCAAGGCAAGGCCCTTCATTGTGTCCAGACCTTGGGAGAATACCTGTTTTTACAAGACGAGGGTAGGAAATGCTTTTCCTGTTATTCCTACATTATTCCTATTCCTATGACCTTTACGGACATGAAAAAAATTGTGTAGAAAGTTCTAGTTGTTGTTAGCAGCTTTTTGGCATGGCTTGAGATTAATAATCTAGGGACCCTGAGTTTGTGTAGATGGGTGACCACTTGTAATTGGTGTTCCAAGGACTAGTGCTCACACATAGCTTTCATTGGATTACATGTTTCTTAAAATGCCCATGGTATTTTTATATTCTAATTTTTGCAGCATTTATGTCTTTGGTTACAGTGAACCACAGTTAGCAATACAGAATTTTCCCTGCTGGGGAACTTTCCAATAATGGGGAAGTTTCCTAAAGAAGTAGATGTAGTTACATCAACATTTAAGTTGTCACATGAAGTCTTTTGACAAATAGTTTTTTTTTTTTTTCCCTGTCTTTTTCATTTGATTGTGGCAGAAACGTGCAGCAGCAGAACTGAGGAGCAATTTGCACAGTGAATATACTTCGGTTTTAAAAAACTGTCACAGATGTTGGAAGCTGGCAGGAGGACAGAAGGGGAATTGTGGTAGGTTCTGTAAGAAAAACAGCAAGCAGATAGCTTTAGTAAAGGACTTCAACTGACGTCAAGGTCTCAGACTGATCCAGAGGATTCTTCTGCTCAGGGCAAAACAGGAGAAGGTTCTATAATGGTTATTGGTTTTCTTTTTGCATGTGCACCTGGATTTGACCCGGACCTACATTTTTTCCCCTCTGGAAGTGGAAAATTGAATACAGCAGCAAACTTTCTGAGTCTTGAGGAAATTTGTGAGTAGTAGTCATACTTTTTTCTGTATTGTAAAGCTTGTTTTCCTCTACAGTGGGAGGAATTGTGGGGGAAATGCTAATAAATTACAGTGGGGAAATGCTAATAAATTTCAGCAATTGCAGGACATAAACATGGGTCTTAGGACTATAAAAGCTAACTTGTTGTCGTCTGTCTTCCGGGAGTTAATCAGAACTCCTCTCCTGGAGATCATGCCAACACTTAGCTTTCCTGTCAATAAGGTGGATAGGGGTTGCAGGCAGGAGTATGGGTATCTTTCAGTATCCTGACTGTAGTGCACATACTGTTTGTTCCAAGCAGTGTACTAGTTCAAGCAGTCTGCTTTGTTATGAGCAGTTTACAGCCCCTACTTAAAAAAAAAATAGAAAGTATTTTGAGTCAATGTGCTGCAACTCTGATCTTTCTGATAGGAGGAGTGCACAAGACCCAGTCAGTCTCAGCAGCAGGCTTGTCTACAGAATAAGGGTGATTATGGCACATTTGTGTGATGGGTATACCTCTATCCTGTTTGAAAAGCTTTACTTTGGAGCTTAGTTGGTGGAGCTCGTTACTATAGCAGGGGAATCATGATGGAGGCATTCTGATGCATATGTGCTCAGGGAAGCTCTTGCAGACCCACAGGATTGGGCTGCAATTTTCTAGTGCTTCAAGAACATCGCTTGTGGCTAAGGAATAAGTCTGGTACCTAATAATTTTATTAAGCCTAGGATTTATCAATTAATCATATCTTGCACCCTGAAAATCTTCTTTGTATTTTTCCTGCACCTGTTTTCAGACCATGCTTACATTGTTGACAGTGTAGTGGACTACCTTCCTTTCTCAGCTCTATATGCATTGCTTGCTGCAAATCAGATGTTGGGAACAGGCAGCAACAGTCTGAGGAAAAGAAGTAGCTTGAATCAAATTATTAGAAGCAGTCTAGTTCCCTTAAGCCACAGCACTGTAAGAGCATATATATCATATGAATTCAAGACAAAATTATTTTTTCACTATCATCTTAAAGTTGACAATCAGAGAAAGAAAGATGAAACATAAAAATGGTGAAGAATGGCAGTTAAGATAAAATTTCATAATTTAGAAAGTGTTATGAGCATTACAGTTGTCTAATTTCTTAACAGATTCTGAAACTACCACTAGAAAACAGCTAAAGGCAATCCTTCCTTATTTTGGTGGATGTTTGGGGGGCCAAAATTAGAACTTTATTTAGAAAAAAAAATATTCAATTTTCTGTATTTATGACTTGAAATACAGACTTACCAAAAGCAGTGGGTGTGTGAAGATTAAATGTAAGAGTTGATATTAATAAGCATTTTAAAATGTTAAAATGTTGTGTAGCACTGTAAAACGTATGTCAGTAAAAAAAGGAAAAACTTCTGACAGAAGAATGACATTACTTTTGTATTTAGAGGTAAAGCAGCAGAAATTCAAGGCAATAGATTCTGCTTGTAGATGAACTGGTTTTGTCACTGTTTTACAAAGGCACTATTGTGTGAGTGGTTGACTGATAGTTGTTATTGCTTAAATATGAGTTACGAGATGAACTACTGCATGAATTGTTTTCACAATATATGTAACTTTGTGAGCCTCCTAGTATGTACTGTGGGACCAGGGTAAAAAAGCAGGGTGTATTCACAGTATGTTACAATAAAGCAAACAGGTGGGGAGAAACCAAAGTTCTATTTCCTGCACTGACTGAATGTAGAAAATTCTTTCATTCTCCTAATGGGAGCAACATTTCCTGCTATAGTTAGGGGTACAACTGGGTATTTGTGAGTACTTTTTCATTAATCAACAGATAATGATAAAGCATCTATTTAGCCATAGTCAAGAACAGATATTTAAAGCAAATAAAGTAAGGTGTTTTTCCTGGACCCACCCATGCAGGAAGATTTCTGCCTGATTATCTACTGGGTGCAGTTTTGTCCTGTTTTTAAATAGGGTGGAATTCAGTGTCTCTTGTCCAGTTCTCTGTGTGGATTGACTATAAAGTGTATTTGATAGTGCAGCTCAGAAAGTGAGTATGTATTTATATCTATCCATTTTTTATCATTTTAGGTTCCATTTACATCATGGGAAGGCCTTTGTTTCTGTATGTATTTTTATTCTACTGGCATTTCCTAAATGGTAAGGTAACATAAGTAAAACTGTTTTAATATGTTTTCTTTCCATGTATAAGCATAGAAATGTTAATTTCTCCAGTTTTCCCTCAGCTGCTAGCATTTGAGCTTGTTTCCTTAATGTTTTAAGTGAAAAGGTCTAAGCATGGCTTTACATTAAACTAGATACCTGGTATTTTGATATGGGGCCAGGGTAAAATCCCTGTCAGTGTTCTAGCAGAGGCACCATTTAAAACAAGGTACCATTGGCATTACACCAAAGATTTTCTAGGCTCTATCAAACCTGGGAAATGTTATGTATTCTTTAACATTGTGGGTAAAAAACAATTGGCATTTACATAAACAGGACATTCCCATTGAAGGCACTAATACTTACCTGTTACAAGAGCAGTGTTCTCAAAGCAACAGCTGAGGGGCTGTGTATACAGCTCACTGTTTTTAGTACAGCATCACACTGTGTGTGCACAAAGCAGGTGTCTGCAGGTATGAGTGCCCATTGTGTGTGTATACAGCTAGTCACACACTTGGACAACTACAGACCAAAATGTTTAACTTTCCAGAACAGAGCAGATACTTTGGTCCTTACAATTTCCTATGGATATGGTAAGACATGACTTCAAAGATTAGGTGTATTATTGAAAAATTAAGTTTTCTTCCAAATTTTGTTTTTCAGCTTTATTCACTGTTGAAGCTCCTCAGTCACTCTGCATTGTGGAACATGGGAACAATGTAACCATGGAATGCACATTTCCAGTGAATGGGAAATTAGAGTTTAGAGATTTAAGTGTCAGCTGGGAAAAGAAAGATGAGTTGAAGCAGGTTTATGTACTTCACAAAGGAGAGGAAGACTTCAAAAGTCAGCATATTGACTTCAGGGGAAGAATAAAATTGTTGAAAGAAAATCTGAACTTGGGACAGTCTCTCCTTCAGATCACTGATGTGAAGCTCAGAGATGCAGGGGTTTACCGCTGTGTTATTGCCTATGGGGGAGCTGACTACAAGACAATCCATCTGAAAGTCAAAGGTGTGTGTGCTACTACCAGAGGTTCAATACTCTGATACTCTTAAAAGATTTCAGAGGAGATTCTGAAGCAAGATATATCTGGATTAGCAGTTAAAGAAACCTCATTGGAAACAGGAGCTATCCAATGGTGCTTGCGCAGCTGTGTAACTTGGCACTTCTGTTTCGGTTGAATCTGTGTTCTGTCCTTTAAATCCCCTATGACATGTAAGGACTCAGGCTGCAAAATCACATAGAGAGTACAAAGACCAAAAAGCCTAGTAAGCTTTCTAAACCACATCAAAATTGTAATAAATCCTGTACCTCCAGTTACAGACTCAATAGCGTTACTTACTTTTCCTGTTAAAATCCAAGCTGAAACTTGACCCTGGGGGCTGGGGAAAAAGAAAAGGTGTCTTTCACTTAATCCAGGCTGTGCTTTTAGATTCCTATTGGTAATGATTTTTTTTTTCCCAATTGTTTAGCTCCTTACAGAATTATAAACCAAGGAGTGGTGAGCACAGGACGCAACGAATGGAAGTTGACATGTCAGTCAGAAGGATATCCAAAAGCTGAAGTGATATGGCAGAATAGAAACTACGAAGATTTGACTGATAAGGCAAACACAAGGTTTGAAACTGCAAGTGACCAGTTGTACCATGTGACAAGTACCCTTACAATCAAAAGTGGAATTGATGAGATTTTTTACTGTATATTCTGGAATAAAGAGCTGCAAGAAAATACAACTGCCATTCTACACACAGCAGGTAACACTTCTAAATTTCATTTATGGTATACACTTCAAGTTGCTAATGTAATCTTGTCCCAGTCAAATCAGCTGTGATTTGTTTCTCTTTCCAAATTTTGAAGAGGCTAGAAAGAAAGACATATCTGTGTCATTAAGTTTTGTTATTAATGTATACTTTCACCATACTAACACGTTCATCATCCATGTATGGTCAGAATTTAAAGACTGGAATTTTGCGTGACCTGCAGGTATATGGAAATTGAGTTTAAATGTTTAAAAAGTTCTATTATTTGGAAGACATGCAACTCAGCACCTGGAAATTAAATCCTTCCATCTTCCAAGAATATTCTGTTTTGTTGATGATTATTGTCACATAAACTTGAACAATATAGTCTTTTCCTGACACTACAGCTTTTGCTTTGAGCACATTTAAATCTAAGTAATTGTACACAGATTTTTTTCCCTCATAAAGTCAGAATTGAAGGAAAACTCATAAATGCACAAGACTAATACAATTCCTAATTAAACCTTTTAAACTAGGCAGCTCCTCTGCTGCTTTTGCTTTTGATTATTCTTTTCTGCATTGTAGCCTGATATGTTTCCAACCAGACTGGAGACCCAATCCAACTCAAAAATAGTATTTCTCTTTGTCACACTGTTACTTAGTGAGGTCATTTACCTTGTCCAGTTCACCACCTAAACTGTGCAGTCACACTTTCTGACATGACAAGGGTTTGAAAGGGGCAGGTTTAGAGTGAGAAAGCCAAGTAATTCTTTCAATGGGCAAGTTTGATTTTAACAAGAAAAATATCTGGGATTCAAGAACACCACTTACCCTTTGCATTTACAGCAATCATTACCAGATGAAAGGAACTCTGTCCTCTTTTTCAATTACCTTTTTCCTGTAATACTGATGAGAAACTAAGCCAGATGTAACACTTTGACAAGCAGAATTCTGATGTGATCAAAGGCTCTATCACATGGAATGCAGAGAACAAAGACAAATATTAATATGTTCTATCTTCCCCCACCCTTATTTGAAAATAAGTGTTATGTGCACCATTAACACCTGACCTTAGACACAATCTATTATGTTATCATGTCTTAATGGCTGATAACAAAAATAATACAGTGAAAAAGAACGGCAAAGGGAGGATCTTATGCAATTATGTAATGTCTTATCCCCCACCTGTTTTTCTTGAAGATTCGACTGATGGCATTCTTCAGACTGAGAGCAGACGCTTTGTTGGAGCAACTCTCATTGCTACTGCTTTTGTTGGATCAGTGCTTCTATTTCTGCTCTGCATAAGAAAAGGTATGCAAATGATTTATTTTAGAGTATCTCAGTTATTATCAATCTTCTCTGTTAATTCATCCTTGCTGAGTGGAACGAGACCGTTTTTTGCCACAGTTTATTTCTCTTTCTTTGCTCAACTTGCGTAGATACTAAGAAGTTGACAGAGTGAAACATGTTATCAGCCCTTCACAAGCCCCACTTACCCATGCATGTCTGTTAATCTTTCTTATAGGTAAGGATGTAAGCAGTAAGATTAGTGTCTAACCTATTGCAACATCAAAGCACTTATTTTTTACCTACTGGAAATTGGAAGTTCCTGTTCTGTGTCCTCTCTTTTGACTGGGGACCAGAATGCTGGTAGCAGATAGGATACTGGAGTTTTTTTTAGTGGTTATTTTTCTGCATTCTCTGAAAAATTTCACTGAACTGTAAGAGCACCTGTTTTTTAAAGCAAATATTCCATTTATTTCCTTAATAAGTTTTGAGTGAACTTTCTCAGTTCACTTCCTGAATTAATATTTTTAGCATCACAGTATGTTGAAAAGCTAAAGCATTGGCAATAATTTGTTTTCACTTGATAGTTAACAAAATAAAAACTTGAAGAAATAATTTGTAGGTTATCTGAGTATGAAAAGACTATAGCTAGTACCCAAAATAAAGGAAAAAATTGTTTTTAACTTGTTACTTAAACTAAAAGAAATACTGTTAATTTCTTTTTCTTTCATAGGTTGGGTGGGGGAGAGGGGCAGCTATGGAAACGTCCTGAGAGAAGTACTCATAAGCTTAACAGGCTTGCAGGTGATTCTAACAGGCTGCAAGAGAACTGCAAGTATAAGAATATACTTGCCCTAAGAACATAATAGGAGTAGGAGGAGAATATGAAAGTGGAAGAAGGGACAGCAAAATCCTTGACTGCTCAAAAGAATCCCTCTGGGGATTTCATTGAAGGTCAGAAGTTTCCTAGGTTGCCTGACTAATATTTATTTTTTGTGTGTGTATGTGATAATACACATCACGTGAGCTTTCATATCTATCTATATATACACACATACACATGTGAATATGTGTGTTTGATAAACCATAAGTTGATTCAAAAGCTAAACTAGTGACAATAGGTTTTTATCTTAAACCCTAAGCTGTCCTGGGTTACCAGACAAGACACTTTTTCAGAACAGAATCTTCCCAGAATGGGAGCGTTTTTCCTCTCAAAAAGTGCTGAGATTATCCCCTTTTTGTTCCCTGTTTTCTGATATGTTAAAATTCTGGGTGAAAAGAAGCAATGGGAAACCACTTGAACAAGTATTTTCCAGTGATGTTAGTGTATATTATCAATGGAGTTCTGGCTTAGGAACAAGAAAAGGAAGTTGGAAAGGAAACAAACACACTGGGAGCACTGAAGAATTTATTTTGAAGTTTTTGAAGAAATTTAGTGTTTTGAGAACAAATGATTACAATATGCAATGTGTGCCCCTCCCACCAATGTGTTTAAGCTTCTCATTAGGTCTAAAGCAAGTATTCTGGGTGTTTTTTTTAAATTTTTTTGTCCTTTGTTTTCTTTCAGCTAAAGCAAATAAGGGCAACAGAACACCTGTGGCAAGTCCATCAACAGCAAGTATGTACATATGACATAAATCTAGCAGAGTGTGATTCTTGTGGAAGTAATTGCTTGAGAATTAATTTTGTAATGGTGACAACCAAATGGAGATTTAAATTCCATTTTGATTTTGCTTTCCACATTTCATTTACATAACAACTATAAATTACAATTGAAGAATGGCTTTTCATGACTGTGTCATCCTTTTGAAAGGAAAATGTGAAAGAAATGCATACTTGTTCCAGGAACTGATGCACTCCTGATAGCACAAGAAAAGGAAAGAGTAGTATGCTGTGTTTTGGAAAATCTGCAGTAGGATGGAACAGGCTCCCTGGAACATAATACCTCAGAATGGCATCACATCCTGATGTGCAAACTTTTTGCTGCAATTTGAACTGCACTGGCAAATTCCTCTGTTTTCTCCAGCATCATAGCAGGCATTTGAGATGCTTTGTCACAACATTTATGACAGAGAGTTTGGCCCTTTTGAGAGAAGCTCAGGGAAACTTTAGTTTCTGTGTTGTGATATTGATGCTATTTACTATGAGCAAAGCTCAGTGGAAGACTAGGACCACGATGACAGGTGGTATTGAAAGAAATTAAGAAAAGAGCAAAGAGACTTAATATTTACAGCAAGAGAGAAAATATTAAAATCCTTTTGCTGTCTCTGAAGATGGTTACCAACTGATTTATTTTTAATGTGTTATATGGGTATTTGGAGACCACCACAAATTAAATTGCTGTGTGAAAATTAGTTCATGCTGGCCATTGGTTTTTTTCCTAAGAACAACTCTCTTGAGAATACTTACCCAAACAGACACAGCATTTGGTGTTAATCTCATCTCTTGCTCTGCATTCAAGTCACTCTAGATCCTAAGTGCACTGAGGTGGCAGTTTCTAACACAAATTTATCACTATTGGAAAAGTTTAAGCTATCCTCAGTGCTGCGTGTATGTATGTCCTTTGCTTACAGAGCTGTCAAAAGATAAGGATACGCATGACTACAGAGATGCTTCTTTTGAAGATAGAGAGCTGAAATGTAAGTATAAATGACAAAGGAAAAATTAGTAGTAAATTGTACACAGCATAAACCGTCTCTAGTCACTGGAGCATTGATTCAAGGCTGGTTTATAGACTCTTGTTTCAACAGACAGAGCCTTCAAGAGCTAATACAGCCTCCCTCCCATCCTGTGTCTTACAAACTCACCATCATAACTCATTGTGTACTGTTTATTACATCAAATAATGAATCGGTTTTTAAAATAGAAAGTAAAGATATACAGAGGAAAATGTGATGTGGAAATATATAAAAATCCAAACCAGTTGCTTTTTCCAGCTTCTACTTTTACTATAGAAATAATTGTTCATGCATATCTGTAAGGGTGGTGATGGCAATGAGGGGGGGGACAGCAACCTGTCACAGCCACTTGAGCCTGTCTCAAGCTGTGGGATTCTGTATCAACAAAGCAAGAAAATACATGATAAATATCTCAAATCTATGAAACATTCTATGGTGTGGAACAGGAGGGTGAAATTACTGAAGTTTTTCTCTCACTTTCTTGCTGACTTCTAAAGCACTTGCATTAATTGCATCCCAAATTCCTCCCTGGTACACTTTACTACAGTAAATTTACAGGTAAGCCTGCTGGTCCTGCAGGTGTTGATCGCCAAGCCAAAGAGTTAGGACCTGGGCATATACCACTGGGAATACCGACAGAGGGAGCACTAAATGTACTTGAAATAATTTTAAAATGTTTTAAAAGAAAGGGGGACCTAAGCAACAGCAATCTCACTGTATTTGCTAAAGAGCTCTTCCCAACAGTATGTTTGAACTACCACTTTTATTTCCTCCTATGATCATCTTTTTCCTGTTTAATCTGTTAATTAATTTCATTTTAGATCTTTAATTTTGACAATTAAAGAAACTTTTTGGTACCTTCAAACTCTAGGAAAGGCATAGCTATGAAGTGTTCTGTGCCTTCATAATTTTGTAATTTGATAATTTTTTAATATAATTCTTTCTGTTACAGATATGCAAGTTGAGAAGACCTAGAGAGACCAGGGAAGACTTTTTCCCTCTATTGTGAAGATTTGACAGCTCAGATGTTCTGTGTTCAATCTATTGAAGGGGATATTAATTTTTTGTATTTATTGTGTGATGGCAATTTTCTATATTGCTGTAATATAGAAAAAATGTAATGAAGTTAAAATAATTATTATAGAATAAAATATTATTGAATGCAAGCTTCCATATATGTGACTAGATATTGAGGTATTTATTTAAATATCAAACTTTCTATCTTCTCAGGTTTAGGCAAATGTGTCTTTCAAAGATTTCGTTTAACTGAATGTACCTTTCAGGTAAAGCACTTTAGTTCTATGACCACTGTGAATTTCATAGCTAGCTCTTGATAGGTCACCTTCTGAAACTTCTTTTCTTCCTTCTTCACCTGAACTCTCAATTTCCTGCACATAAATGGTTTTCCATAGTTCCATAGTTTAAGGAATATTTTAAATAGGTGATCCTTATAAAAGGTGCAACAAGACAAGTGTGCCATACATGCAGGAAATTTTCCATCCTTAAAATACTAGATACTCACAGCTAAGCCTGAAAAAGATGATTTAAAACTCTTGGCAACTATGGTTTGGAAATTAAATAATACTAAGCTTTTTGATATCTTTCTTTATAAAGCATTTTGGGCATTTAATTTCCTCATTATATTGCTGGCACTACTGGGTTGCTGCTCACTGTCTTCTGATTTTGCAGTTTACAATTCTTTTGACATTTAGGAAAAACAGTCCTTGCTTTAGATGGCCATTTTGTTTTCTTGGGAATGGAAAAAGGAAAACCTACTTACTTCTAGGACATTAAATACATGCACATATGATTACATAGAAATGCTGAAGAAACCTGTTCCTGGATCCTATTTCACAAGTTTTTGTTATGCTACATTTTGCTAAGTGCATAGCTTTTTGGGGTGGATCATACACAGGTGAAAAAAGATTATTGCAATGGTATTCACAATTGTATTTTTAAAATATAACACATTTTGCTTTTCTTGTGTTTTTTCCTGCTTTCCTTAACCTGTCAGCAAGTAGTGTAAGCTCTATTTGCATATTTCTGAGAAAAAACAGTATTAAAGATTTAGGTGTAGGAGAGAGTCTACAGACATGACCTCCCTCTAATGGCTCCCACAAAGAACAGATGGCAGAAAACTGGAATCTCATTGGACTCAGGTTTTATTTTTCATTCGAAAGGAAATAATTTATTGTTCAGTCCAAGAATGTGGACACAGTCCATGTAAGGTTGTGTTTAATAATGTCAGAAAGCTGTTCAGTGTAGTAGAATCATAATGGGGTTGGTCAACCACAGTTATGTAAAATAGTTACTACAGTAATTTCCTTGATTCATTGCAGACTTTGTGTATTCTTGTGATAAATGAATATGATTTGTGCTAAAAATTGTAACTATATTGATATTTTAGAAAATATTTGTTAAAAAGTAATAGAGGAAAACTATATGTAATTAATGTCACAAAACAGATGTTCTCAGATGTTCATGAGAAAATAGGATGCAGGATGTAGTTTGAGATAAGTAAAATCCCAAAATGGAACAGGCCTCAGATAATTAAAGAATCAGCTTTGAAATGGACAAAACTGGGATGATTCCAGGTATCTATGGAATAATAAGGCTTACTTTTGGAATATAATGCTGGCTTTATAACACAAGACTTGGGGTGCATGTACAGCCTGTGGGGTTGTTCAAAGGACAGTGAGGACGATGAGAAACCTTCGTCGGAAGCGACAACCGAAAAGCCAAGAAGACCCTTAGGAACAGGTGGAGCATGCGCTATGACGTGTAGTGATGTAGATGTTGAGAATTGAAAACAGGAGGAGATTTACAGAAAATATCTAAGAACATGTATTAGCATACACCATATAAGAAATGGGATTTCTTTTGTCTTTGTGCATAAGGCAGGGTGACAAAAACCTTTCCTGTACCCTGATATATCTGGTTTTATTATGCTTTATCAAAACCACTGCCAAATTTCTTTTTGTATCTGTTTGATTATATTTTATTGTATTATTTTATATTAAATTGTTGCTCGATTAAAACTGCTGCTAAATTTTAATTTTGTAGTTTATTAGATTAGACATATAGGACCTAATTCATCACATTCTGATACTGATTCTTCCCATTTGGCTCTTCAAGGTTACTATGTGAACTTGAATATCTCCTCCTGCTTCTCAACCTACTTTTTGAATCTGGGTGTCATTGGAGGTGATATCCAAATTTTAATTATCTAGAGAGGTATTTGAAATATCAGGGCCATTTGTAGACAAAGTACTGACTCAGCACAAAAATATAGAATCATATCACCACATAAATAATTCCCTTTCCAGACAAGATGACCTTTTCACTTTCTACTTCCTGTTTGAGACTAGACAAGTTGTGTGCATATTATAGTAAAAGTGATGAAATATCTTGTTAGTTCTTATAAGCAAGTTCTTATAAGCAAGGCAGTGCTTGCTTAGTCTTATGGAACTGAAGTTAATGTCTTTATCAAAATCTACTGAATAGCAGGAACTGTTACCTGTCTCTTTTTCCAGTAGGAGAAAGGGCAAGTTACTATTGAAAGGGCTGTATATCAAATGGGTAAGATAATGAAATGAGGGAATAAAAATATAAATTCTTTAGCTGAACCCTAACTTCTTAAATGACAGTGCTTGAATTCCTGAGTGGTTGATGGGAAGCATAAAATTTTGCTACTTCCTTAGAAAAGCAGGACGTGTGGTGAATAACAAAATAAGCTCTCTTCTATACTTCTCAGAAATACAAAGCTGAACTTGTCTAATCTTATTTTAGAAATTAAGATTTTAGTATAATTTAAGTTTTGTGGCTTCACTTTTATGAATACAGGGAGACGGGCCCACATGTTTATCCTTCAATGCCATGAATGGTTTCAGGTCAAGTATTTGCCACTCATTACAGAGGGAGAGTACCCACCACAGTGAAAATACAACACACTTAGTTCATGAGAACTAGCTAAGTGGAGATCCTTTCTATCCTAACACAGAAAATGTAGTTAAGCACTATATGTGTAATAACATTTCCTTCCATTTAAAACATTTGCACAATGCTTCAGTGTTTTCGGATATCTGGAAGACAAGCAAAAAGCAGGAGCAAACTTAGTTTCAGTAAGCTGCATTTTACTTCTTAGTAGCTAAGCATTATTAGATTTCCAAAAGTGCTCAGAAAAGCCTGGTTCATGTGCACAGTCAAAATTGGCTTATTGGTATTTCAGTTCAGGACTTATTTTAAAAATGTAACTATGAACCAGTGTAATGGCCTACTTTGTGATGTGGCATTTAATTTTGTAGAATCTGAAAGCTATGAATAATTACAATTCCAATAAAAATCTAATAATATGAAAAATAGAATACTTTTTATTGATCTGCACACCTTTTCATGGAGCAGAACTGCAGGACTTTGGCTGTGTCCCTTTTCCCTTTTGGCTAAAAAAGTACCAATGGTGCATCATTCAAGCATGGGCTAGCCAGGAAAACAACAGAGGTATTAACAGTGAAATTTCTGCTTTTGCAGACATTAACAGTAGGACTTCTGCTTTTTCAGCATATTGTCCCAGATTCCCTGTCTCTCTCTCTCTCCATATTTCTTTGGCTCTGCAAATACAAGATTGTCCCAGGCAAGTCAGATACTACTGGGTTCATGTGATGCCCAAGGCAAGTCACTGATTCTTGGGCAATTTCACTGCACTATCTCCTTGTTCCAATATGGGAACACAAGAAGAAAACATACTGTAGGCAGGATAGCTCAGAATGAATAGACGATAGTGATATGGTGATTGTGAAGTAACTTTGTTGTTTCTTTTCTGTCATCCAAATCATTGACTTCTGCCAAAGAAGTCATCAGAGCTTTTCTGGAAAAAGGTGAGACTACATGTTAATTACTTTGTGTGACAGGGCTACACATGATGAATTTACTGAATAAAAATAAATGTAACAGTGGTTTTGTTGAACTAGTTTGCTCTGTACTAGGCAGCAGGAGACATAATTTTATACATCAGTCTGGAATTGTGAGGCAGGCAATCATCATATATCATTCTAAACCAGCTAGGATTTCCAAGAGTAAAGCCACAATATTTTTTTCTGTTGAGGTAGAACATAATACTCACAAGCAGTGAGAATCTAATAGAAGACCAAAGAGTATGTGTGTCCCACCTATAGCACAAACACATTTGTATCTCTTTTATGTCTCTCACTCATTAAATCATCATAAATTAAAAAATAAAGTGATGAAAAATTAAAAGATGCATCCATTGATAACACTGTTTGATAGAACAAAATACTTATTGGACGGGGATCTATCAGTCACCTAATCCAATCTTCCACTCAAAGCAGTGACATCTTAAAAACAATTCCCCAGGCTTTGTCCTGTAAAGTTTGGTGCATTTGTAAGCATGGAGGTTCACAACCTCACTGATTAGCCTCATAGTGATTTTTTTTTTTCATCAACTTAGATGAAAATTAAGAGGAAATAGGTTCTGCAAATATTAGGTAATTGCTTAATGAATTCTTGTAAAATTAATCTGATGAAGGTAAGAAAATGTAACTTGATGAATGTACAACAGTCCTAGTAAATGCAAGTTCAGATGCCAATGCTGTACACCGCTTTAAATGGTTATAAACCCACTGAAAATCATTAATATAATCAAAAGCAGAATTTGAGCACATAAATTTTACAGAATGCTTTGTATAATTTTGTTGGATGCGTGCACATTCTCAGGAATGTAGAGAAGCGAGCTCAGTGTACATTCAGCATGAAACTGAAACTAACAACGTCCTGAGAAATGCCCTTTCAACATAGTCAGGTTTTTTTTATGACAAAAAACCTGAATAAGATCAGCCTACAAGCTGTGCTATTGGTGCATGTTATACACTGTCATAAGAGCTGGGTAGTTCCTGCTATTGTGCAAATAGGATAGAGCTTTGAGAATCTTTGCTGTTACATGAACCAGATTGCAATGACCTGCATAAAGACCTGATGTGAGTATTACACTGATAAAATGCAAATTGATGTTTCCAGTATTTCTGGCTGACGGATTGCAGGTTTTTTCCTAGATTCTTAAGATTTATTTAACTTTATTTTCAAATTATTACTGAGATACAGACTCTGGTTCTGAATGAAAGACTGGATAAGTTCCATATCCTAATACATGGGTCCATATAATTTCTAATCCTGATATTTTTAGAAGCTGATCATTTCATTTCTCTCCTAGGCAAAGGCAGGGGAGTGGTGCTGGTGAGCCTCTTCAGCTTATGCATGAGGATGCAGCTCTTAGTAAATATTTCATCCTGAATTTCAGGATGAAACCTCTGCATGTACTTGTATCTATATATTCCTGTTTACTTTCTTTTAGTTGTTACTAACACACTACCTGCAGACAATAGGTTATTTTGATTGTACAGCTAGTCTAGAGACTTCCACCTTCTGCATCCCAGAAAAAGCATAGGCTATGAAGAGGAGAAGTACTTGTACTTCTCTAAGAAGTCTTTCTTGCTGTAGAAGCTGGAGATATGAAAGAAAATTTACAGTGTGTCAGTCTGTATTCAGTAATGCTGCTAAGAGCGGAAAGGCTCTGAAAGATTCTATGATACACACAACTGCTTTTTAAATGTAACAAAATTTCACCCCAGTTCTTAGTATTATAGAAAAAAAAAAAATCAGCCATGTTAGAATGATTGTATTTGTCATGGAACAAAAAACTGACAGTGGAAAATATTCAACAGGTGACAGTTAAAGAATGCAGGGAAATTCACAGATAGTGTGATCAAAGGAGGAAGTGAGAAATTACATTTCTTCATCTGAAGGCTGAAGGGAGCTGGAGAGCAGACTGAAATGATGCAAATAGGCTGTCACAGGTAAACATCAAGAATAAATGAATCATCCCAACAATAAATTGTGTGGTGAGGTGGGCAAAAAGGGACTGCAACAAGTGTGCAAAAAGTCAGAAGAACAGCAGGTGAGATGGTATTTGGGTAAGGTGGATGTGAGAGAATGAGAACAAGAGATTATGTCCACAAAATATACTGAGACAGGCTGGAGAAATGGCCTTCAAACAAATTTTAATATGCATGGTTCGATTTTTTCATTAAATCCCTGAAATAGAAAAAAAAGTACCTTCCTTCTGATGGTGAAATATGCAACAGCTGCTGTTTCTATAAGGATCTAATGCTTGGGTTTTATTTATTCTTTTTTTATTTTTCTGACTTAGGATTTTTAAACTTTTTTCTCTAACTTTTTTGTTTGTTTCTTTTTTTAAACTGGATCCTTCATAGAAAGTAAAATCAGTTTAGCTGTTTCATGAAGATGTCAAAAAGTTTTGTCTTTTTGCACATGTGAGAGTGTTAGAAGAAAGCTGTTGCAAAATGCATGGAAGGCAGGGGAGTTTCAGTAACAGAAAAAGACAAAATAAACTGTGACTGGGACCATATAATCTTTTGCTGTGTTACATAGGTGCATAAGAAGATAGTCTCTTTTCTACCTAAGTGAGCATAAAACTCATTTTATTTCATGCAGGGAGAGTTAAATGGAGCCAAGTCAGATGCCTGTTAACACAGCTTGATTGCTTCTAATTAAATATGAATTTGTAATTTTGGATTATTTCCAGAAGGCACTGTCCTGTACTTGGTTATTGCAGTACAATAAGACAGAGTGTAGAAGGAGAGGGATTAGGAAAAGCATAGTCATTAGGAAAACATAGCTATCTCAGCTCAGTAATATTGCATAGTCTGTCAGCTGCATAGCAAAAACGTGGAATGTAGGAGTGAATAGATCAGTTGCATGTTGGTATTTCAAATCCATAACAAAATCTAACAGCTCAAGATGTCTCACGATGCAAGACCACTTGCAAACCCTTGTTTGCAAAAGTGTATGGGACAGTTTGTGTGGAGGTGAACACATACCAAGTGGTCAGCCTGGTGACAGTTCCATCCTCCCAGATCCCAGCTGTGGAGTTCAATGTCCCCACTTCCTTCTACATTGTAAGAACACCTGGGTTATACCTGGTAAAACCAAACAGGATCACATAGAAAGTGCTGCCAATGGGATACCTTGCTCTGCAGGGAAATGTAATTCAAAGAAGGGTCTGTCTACCATAGCAATTTAATTTAAAAAGGACTGAGTCCTTAAAAAGGACTAAGCCCTTCCTTAGTCCTTTAATACTTTGATATTCCAGAGTGAAATCTGAGAGATTATTGTAAACTTCTGTTGATTTGACTCCTGCTTTAAGCCTGGAGGAACGCTAGTGTGCTTGAAAGCTTGTTTAACTTTTCCAACTGTTCTGATTATTCTAGTGGAAGTTATGGGTCTACAAAGCTCTCTTAGCTTAATGCTGCTAAATTTCATTATGCAGACAGTAAATTTGTTTACTGTTCTAAATTATCCATTTGCTGGAAAGCAAATATTTTAATAGCTGAAACAATGTTTCCAGGAAAAAGTTTTCCATTATTTATTATACTATAAGGTCCCTGAATCAGTGACTGTGCCTCTGGTTGTTCTGTTTAGTGAACAGCACAAATACTTTGTTCAGGATGCTTTGTTAAACTTGTGTTGAGAATAATTATAGAACTACAGAACCATAGAATGATTGAGTTTGAAGGAATGTTTAAAGGTGATCAATTCCAATCCCCCTGCCATGTGTAGGAGCAATTATAACAAGGGTACTAATCAAAGGTAGCTCCAGAAGATCTTACACTAAGATGCTTCTTTTATTAAGAAAAGCATTATGACCTTTCATGGATGAAAATAATAGGATTTAATTTACATTACTCAGATGTGGGTTTCAGTCTTTTTTACAAAGGAGTAGACTGCAAAATATTCTGTGATCTTCACGTTTCTTTGCTTAAAATACTTCTTGTAAACTTAACATTATGAACATGGTGAGAGTTGTCACTAATGCCAAATCAGTTCTAACTCTTATGACCAGACTGGTACCAACCTCAGTTGTCACCAATGGCACTGTGGTTAAAACACACATGAGTGTTTTCTGAAAATAGGACCCAGTAATAATAATAAACACATACCACAGAGGACTATACAAAGCACAGCTACTTAAATGAGCTACCCAAGCTTTTCCTCAAGGGCTCCACAGTTTAGGCATGTAGCAGATTGATGTTCCTATTTTGCCACCTGTTTCAGTTCCTAAGAGCATCCTTATAACATCCAGCTTTGTCAAGATAAGCACCTTTTCACTTCTGTCTGTAGAATGGAATGAAGTCTATACATTATGTTGAAAACTGAATTATATTGTTGTATGGAGCATAGAGCTTGTACCATTTGAAATGGGAATACTGAATCTAAATTTTCCAAAGGAAAAAGAAATATCCTTCTCACTTCTTACAAAGGATTTTGGACAATCACTAAAGATTTTAGATGACATAAGGCAAAATATTACTCTTTTTTTAAGACAAGTGTTATAACCTTCTGGCTAAGTGAGCTGGGACCAAGGCTAAAGTCACAGGCATGATCAACTGAATGAATCAATAGGAGAAAAAAAATACTTAGTGTCATTTCCATCTTTGGTGGAATTTCAGCAATTTATTATCATTGCCATCTGGATTTCAGTCAGCATTCACTATGAAAATTTATCAGAATGTTACTTGTGGCCAATGAAGTCAAGTATGGGTTTCAACTTTGTATTTTCAGTAAAGCAAAAAAGCTGTACAAAAAGAAAATATTATATTCCTCATCTTCCCTGATCATTGTCATACTTTTGTTTTCAATGGTTCCATTCAAACTTTTGTCTTGGGCCCCTAAATATTCATTGAAATTATTACAACTCATAAAAAGCCATGATGATCTTTAGATGTTTGATGTGATGCTTTTTACCACCTCAATTATCCAAGTTTTTTTTTACTTAACTCCACAATCACAGAGCACTGTGGGATAACTTGCTTTTTCTTCTGCAGATTAGTCTGGGAAATCATTTACTGACTCCATGTGAATTGGTCTTGAAATGTCATGCTACTTCTTACTGTTCTCAGATGTATATTTTCAATTCCTCACTTTGCTGCACAGAAGCATTAAGTACTGATTTTTATGGCACAGTGTTCCTTCTTTCATCCCTGTGAATTTGTAACAGGCATATGATGAATACATTTTAGTAGTGGCCTTTTGCTTAACAGAAGAATAAAAGAGAGTGCTGTGCATAAGCTTGGGATAAGTTAGGATAGTTGTGTACAAGGACTACTGAAGAGCAGGACATGACATACTTTTTATGAACAGCAGGGAGAACATGAGGGTTAGTCTTTAACTTAATCACAATCATGAATGGTTAGTAGTGCAAGCTCAGAAGAAATCATGTTCCAGATGCTGGTGCAGGCTTTTCTATGGAAGTGTCAGAGGCACATGAAGTTGCATGGGTAAATTGCACTGAGATTGCACAACAGCTTGATGTCTGCTTCTGAGATTATGGAAATAAAGAAGGATGCCTTCTAACACAGATCCTTGCTGACGAATAGTTGATCTTTCTAATATACATCTATGCTAACAAATCTTTGATCTTTCTAATACAGATCCTTCCTTCTTCCCACGAGCATTCTATGACTGCTTTCAGTATCACAAGTTAAAATGTTCTTATATTTGGTTTCTTTTGCATATTTATATTATGTATAATGCTTTTCTAAAACGAATCCCTCCGGTCACACAAGATTTACTTGATATGTAATAATTATGATTATCTGCTGGGGTTTTGATTGTGTATCTTTTTATTTTTACTATCAGTAATATGTGTATTTTTAAAAATTCTACCTCCTACATTAAACAAATAAACATGCTCTGCATTTTCAATGTACTCTAAACTATAAAAATAGAGAAGAATACCTAAAATGTCTCACATGAGGGATCTAAATATTGATGTGAAATATTGTTTCATTCTTCATTCAGTTCTTTCCTTTATGTCCATCTTCTAATAGGTAAGCTGTGTGGAGAGGTGAGCACAGCAGGAGACTGAGCATGGTAAATAGTAACAGTCTTTACTTCTGCATCTGGAATAAAATATACTGATAGTGTTTATTAGCTCCTTTCTCACACAGCCATAATAATTATGATTCATCACATTAAGTAGTGATGGACTCAGTCCTCTGATAAAGGTAACTAGCTTTCATTTACATGTAATAATTCTGCTTTGAGTAGTTTGCATATAAAATTTTGTTTGTGATATCATATGATTAAGGTCTAAATTTCCAGAAAAAGTCCCATAATTTTGGATGCTAATTTGATAAGGTTTGAGCCTCACTTTCCAAGTTACTGAAAGCTCAAGGGCAGAAGCAATGAGAGAAATGCAGCACCTGAGAAAATTTGAACCAGAATGTCTCAAGCTAAGCCCACAAAAGAATAGGGAAGTAAAATTAAACCCCTCCTCCAGTAAGTCTTGCTCTGGGGAAGTCTAAAATTGCTCCTTCTCTTCTTTACTTCCTTGTAGCTTATTTCTGGATCCTATTCCCTATTTTTTTTTCAGATCATAGTGCATTTTAGTAAGCTTTATTGAAAGTAATTCTAGTGTCTTTTCTATTATCTCATTAGTTTTGTTATAAATTTTGCCCCTGGTGCTTCTTTGTTGGGTTTTTTCTCTTTTTAGTTATGTTTATCCATATACAGTAGTGTGAAAAATATGTGATTATTTGCTTGCTACTAGAACACAAATACACTCACTCTAAAACTGTATTTTCTCCTTTTGTATTATTCCAGGGCTGTTGGTTTACTATCAGTAATACAAGTCAATTTGTTCACGTCAGACATTGCCATATGTAAAGTGAAAGAATAGCAGCAGTAAGTCTTCATTCTAATCCCTTTTTAACCAATCTTCAATTTACCCATCCTGAGATTTCCACTGCCTCACAATGTGTTCCAGGTATTTTCTGGTCTTTAGGTTTAAGGCAATAAGAAACTGCAAAATACCCCATGCAAAGCAAAGCTGAAACAAAAGCAGGGTTAAAATTCTTCTACACTAGATCATGTGTTAGTGCAGACAGTTATAAAATCTGCTTGTGTTTGTTCATGAATCTCTCCAACATGGGAGAAGTCAATTGCAATTGATTATTATTTGTGGATAGTAAAAATATAAAAGCATTTTCCTGTCAGACTATTTAAAACTGCCTGCAAGCTACAGATCCTAAAAATGTCCTGACTGAAGTTATGGAAATGTTTTATTTCTCTTTATTGCTACTGTTTCATTGCAATTGGTTCATATTCTTTGTGTGTGCATGAGTTGCTCTAGTAAGTATTTTCCTTGTTTCTGCTGGTAGCCTAGTGTTTGTTTCTGGTTTTGCTGTTTATGAGCTGTGATGGATTTCAAAGGCTGGCATGGCTCTGATCTGCCTCACCAGAAGGTAGTTCTTGCAAGTTCTAATGCAATTCTACTTTTATTTCAGATCTACCTTTTATTTCAGACAATGTTCCAAATCCAAATCACAATACTGTTACTGGAAACACAGCTCTCCATGGTTTCAGGTAAGAGAGAAAGTGCCTTTCAGTTCCAGTAGCAGAACTAATGCAGCTTTTAGTATGTGGGCTTCAGCACCTCCAGCAACACTTGCATGAACGGTCAATAATGTCTGGAGCCTCTGCTTTCCATCTTATAAAAGGCACTGGCATTGACTGAGCACAGGACAGGTGTCTGCCACTTCCAGAGTCAGGATTCTTTACCATGTTATGTGTTGTCAGCTGAGGTGTCCAGCATCAGCGGCATGGCTGTAAGAAGGAGGATGACCAAAGCAACAAATACCCACAGGGAAGTGTAACAATCTCAGTGTTAGATGGCATGAAATATGATCACTTGTGTTCCCCTGTCCATGCCTGTAGCAGAATCAACTCGGCTAAAATCCAGAAGGAGCTTGGCACTTTCTCACATTGCTCCCTTGCTACAGTTGTATTACAGTAAATAAACAAACATTGCTAAGAGAAACCTAGCAATGCTAAGGTTTCCCTGTATATTAGTGTGAATATAAACAAAAAATGCTTAAAATTTTAGTCAAATCAGTAACCATATACCCCTGACTATCTGTATACAGTATACTATCTGCATACTATCTGACAGTTTTGCCCAGCATTAAAGAAGATCAGAACATATTTTGATGAAACAAATGAAATTGTTCTCTTTTCTTCACATAGCTTTGTTTACAGTTGAAGTTCCTCAACAGCTCTACACTGCAGAGTATGGGAGCAACGTGACCATGGAATGCAGATTCCCTGTGAATGGCTCAGTGGATCTAGGACTCCTGTCTGTTTTTTGGGAACAGAAAAGGCAGGGCTCATCAAAATCAAAAGAGGTATATACATTCCGCAATGGGAAGGCACTCCATCCATCTCAACATCCTGATTACATAGGAAGAGCATCACTTCTGCACAATGAACTGATGCTGGGACGAGCCATCATCCAGATCACCAATGTTAAGATTACAGATGCAGGATCATACCTTTGTCTCATTGACTACCAGGGTGTGGACTACAAGTACATTGCTTTGGAAGTAAGAGGTGAGTGGTTAAATTAAATGTAACTGTATATTAATTGAGACACCTCCACTAAATTCCTACAAGCTTGTAGAAATTGGTTAATCTGAAGGAATTTGTTGTTAGTTGTCTCACCAAGACTTTGTGCTAAGCCTTCAGCTGAACCAAAGCAGTTGTCTTAGTAGTGGCTAGCCTTTGGTTCAACACCTGAGCTCCTCCAGGAGCACCTGGTGCTGGGGAAGGACAGCATCTGTTCTCCTTCCATCCTTCTTTCTACAACCTCTTCAGTGCCACCACCTCCCTCCTCTCCTTTGATCCTCTTGTTGGGCTACACTCTGGTCATTCCAAAAAGTTTCTCAGAGATGCTTTGATATCCTTATGAATCCTGCTGCAACTACTCAAGTGTCTGGGGATTCCCCAAATGACTGCAGCTCCCAGAGCAAGGACATGTGATTTTCTGTGTCCATTGAAGCAAAATGGGCATTAGTAGTAAAGGCATATGTTAATGGAAAGCATGACAGACCAGATCCTTGAAAGATTTCACAGATTATTGTTTCCCACTAATCTGTGAGAAACATCACACATATCTGTGTAATGCAAGGCAACATTCATTTCCCATCCATATATTTAAATAACAATATTTATCAAATGCAAAAATTGACATAGACATTCTTAAGACCCACATTAGTTCCTATGAAAAGTCAATTTTGTTCTAATATAATGAAAATATTACACTGTTTATAAGCTATGGTAAAACAAACATGAAATCAGGCTTTTGGGAAGTGGCATATTCTAAAAGTGAAAATAAGACTCCCATAAGATTCCACTAGTCTACTCTGTCTTAATAAATTATAAATATCATGTCAACTGCTGCCCTGTATAAAGTACTGGAGTGCATTCTTTTGCTGTAGGCATGATAAGGATTGAATAATCCATTTTGTATTGTTCTACAAAACATCCTTCATCATTTTAAATGAGTGTTCCACAGATATAGCCATAGACAATACATAGCATTAAAAGGAAGCAGGGAAAGTGAAGTGGGGAAATGATTGCTGTTGCATACAACAATTTCACTCAACAACTTCTCATGCAGCATCTTACAAGAGAATAAACACTCAAGTAATGAGAATACCGAGTGAAGACAAATTTGTTTTCATGTGCCAGTCAAAAGGCTTTCCTCTGGCAGAGATTTTCTGGCAAAATGAGAACTTCAATCTCAGTGGATCTGCAAATACCACCCATACACTGACTGCAGATGGCCTCTACAATGTCACCAGCATCCTGACATTCAAACCAAACACGAGTGAGAACTACACATGTGTCTTCTGGAATAAAGAACTGAATGAAGAAACTTCAGCTCACTTTTCCACTTTAGGTTGGTATGACCTTGAATTTGTATATGACTGTTCATACATACATCATGTGCTATGGTCCATCACTGGAGTTAAGTTCTAGAAATCAGTGTAATACTGATTCTTGGTAAACTGAACAAGTCAGTATTATTTATGTCTTTGAAGTCTCAGCTAGCTTCCATTCCAACAAACCAGTCTGTATTTTTCTGTATATTTTAATTTTAGAGTAGCTTTCCTTATTTTCCTGCCAATACAAAGGGAATTTTTTTAGCTGCATGGGCATCTTCCCTGATAGTCTCCTACTTAATTATTCTATCTAGTTGTCTACCTTGACTTCAGCAAGGCTTTTGACATTGTTGCCCATAATATCCTCATGGGTAAACTCAGGAAATGTGGGTTAGATGAACAGAATCAAGAACTGGTTAAATTACAGAGTCCAGAAGGTCGTGATCAGACTAATAGAATCCAGATGAAAGCCTGCTGACAGTGGATCAATATTGGGTCCAATCTTATTCAATTTATCAGCAACCTGGACAAAGGAATCAAAGGCACCAGCACCACAGGTTTGCTGGTGACACTAAACTGGGTGCAGTGGCTTAATGCGGCTGAGGGCTCAGGGGTCCATCCGATCCCCGGCTGCTGCTGCTGTAGGTGTCTGGATAGCGCTGGGCTGTTAGGCTCAGCTTGTCTGGGTCCCTCAGGCTAGCTCCAGCCACAGGCAACTTAGCGTGCAACTCAGGAGTGATTTCAGCTCTGGTAAATTCAGCTCTTAGTTATTTCAGCTCTGTGCTCACCAGTTCCTTAAGCACATGCAGGGAGATAGAGATAGAAGTCTGTATGCAGTTCAACAGCGGTGTTCTTTAATTTCAGCTCCTGTGAATGGGGCAGTGACAGTTTATTCTGCTGAACTGGGCAGAGATGGGGTTTGATATAGGGTACAGGGGTGCTGGAAATTGTCCAGTGGCCAGGGTTGAGGAGAATACAACCTATAGCCTTACAGAAAGATAGCAAGGGTCTGAATGCGGAAGAGGGGCTTCTTTGGTCCAGCCACCGTGACTTGGCATTTCTTATCTTAGGCGAGTGACCACCAGGGAGGCCTTGCAGCGCCTCTGACTGCTACAGTGGCTGATCCATCTGAAGGCTTTGCTGCCATTCATGGACCTTGATTAGCTGGAGGGTTGGGCAGAGAGAAACCTGGTGAGGTTCAACTGAGTGTAAGGTCCTGCACCTGGGGAGGAATTGTCTCACGTGCCAGCACAGGCTGCTGACCTCTGTGAAGTGGTTCTGCAGAGAAGGACCTAGGAGTCCTGGCAGACAAAAAGCTCTCCATGAGCCAGCCAAGAAAGCTAATGGTATCCTGAGGCACACTAGGAAGAGCATTGCCAGCAGGGCAAGGCAGATGATCCTGCCCCTTTACTCAGCAGTAGTGAAGCCACAACTGGAGTGCTGTGCCCAGTATTGTGACCACTTCTGGGCTCTTCAGGACACAAGAGAGAAGGAGGTACTGGAGAGAGTTCAGCAACGGCCACAAGTTTGATGAGGAGTCTAAAGCATCTGTCTAATGAGAAGACTGTGTTTAGTCTGGAGAAGACTGAGAGGAGGTATCATCAATATATAAAAATATTTCAAAGGCAGATGCCAATAGGATGGTGCCAGACTCAAATGCCATACAAAAGAGAGGTATGACTGGCTTTTTTTTGTGAGGCTTTTCATAGTAATATTTCAGAACAAATTATTCATAAATGAGTGTAAATCACTAGGCTAATAAATTTTAAAAATCTTTTGTTCAGTCAGAACAAGACTGGAGAAACACAACTAATAACTTGATAAACAATGCCTGTTTTGTAAGTTATAAATGTATTCTCCTTTAATATTTTTAACAGCTTTAATGAGTACACAGTATAGTGGACAAAAATTCCTGATCTCTTTAATCGCCCCCGCATGTGTGACTGTAGCTGTCCTTCTCTCTGCACTAATAATATTTCAGAAGAGAAAATCATTCAAGAATGAGCAACCCAAAAAAGGTACATTTTTACTTCAGATAGTGAAACTTTCACTATTTCTTTACTTTTCCTGTGAACAACCTTGAGAAATTTTAGTAAGGCACACTTGCATGAATTTGGTCACATTTTATTTCTAGATTGCAAGAGGGTACAAAATGAGATCTTGGATAATTTGAGTTTTATTTTCCTCACTGTGTTACCTATGTGAGACAAGGTGTATGTAAAGATACATTTTTAAAGCTGACCAGCTAGTACTCTGTACACAGCACAAACAAACTTTGCGTCATGTAAGGAGGACTGTAAAGCATAGTTTCAACAGTGTTTTCTTCATAGCTACAAAGACATTGTGGCTACAGTATATTACACAGAATTTTTATTTTTCAACTCCATTATGGTATAATACAGGACAGCCACAATATTTCCTTCCTTGTTTGTATGTACAGTAGTACAAAATTAATAAAGTAAACACACTATTATTCCAGTATTTTCTTGCACATGAACAGACACTAGTAAACTAGACTATATATATCTATAGTCATGAAAGAAGAGTCTTAATATTATGATTTCAGAATTCGATTCAAGTTTTCTAAAGTTTTTGATTTAAGTTTTGTAAATTAAAAGAAACATAGAGAAATTTATTTGGTATGATTTAATAAAAAACTTAACTGTGCTCACAGCTCAGTTTAATCTAAAGATTTGTTGAATAGTTATAGTTACAATATAGTTTCTTCCAAATGTAGAAATGTTTAAGCTAAATTTTTATATATTTACTTTAACAGACAGGAAAAGAAAACTGAACCCTAATGCAAAGGATGAGAACAGTAAGTCATAAGCAATTTTTAAAATTTACATTTACAGATTTTTCTTTCTTACATCTAAAATATTAAAAAATATGTAGATTGAAACCTAAATAATGTAACATCAAAATAGAGGGTAGTTTTGAATTTAAATTCTTTTATTCTTGAGTTTTCAAAAAAATGCAGTTTCTAAAGTTTTGACTTTCTCTTGGGCAACGTAAAAATTTGAAAATATTGGTTCCCTTTCACTAACGTACGAATAGCTTTCATACATAGGTCAGCACACATCTCTGTATACCAGATGGGGTTCTAGTAGTCTTGGCTGAGAAAGATACTCACAGAAAGCTGGTTGCTTTGGATAGCATCAAGATTTTTGTGGCAATAGTCTGTTATACTTTTGGATCAAGCTACAGGTTTTAACAACAAATAAAATGATACATCATTGATCTGGAATATTATATAATCTCCTAGGCTACCTCTTGTCTTATGAGAATCTGACTTACCTAGACATCCAGAAATTTTTACAATTGAGAGGGAAGATAATACCTAAAAAAATTGTCAGGATGCATCTAACTGTTCTGTACTAAAATTGAACTGAAAGAAAAAGATAACACCATAGAAAATGATAAATCAATACAACAAGGAAAGTCTTAATACACCTACTGATATAAATCAATTTTGTTACCTATAGATAACAGTTTGACAGGCTAATGCATTGTGAGGTACTGGCTGTGGCCAGTGTTAGGTACAGAGGTACTTGGTTCAGCCAGAATTCCTTGGTGTCCAAGCAGACCCTCACATAGCATACTGAGGTCAGCCCTGAGGCTGCCAAGGAGCACAAATGGAGTAATACTGTGATGCAGCTAACCAAGTGAACACAGAGACAACTCTGGGCTTTTCCAAGGACAGCATATCTCCCACGTATCTCACTGCTAAAAAAATACATGAAGAAGTCACCAACTTAAAAAATAAATCCTGTAGGTGAAAGGTAGAGATTGGATGAAGAGGGCACTGATTTCCAAATCACCTCAGGTTGTCATATTTGCATCTTAACTGTAAGTGTTTGATCCACTGCTGTCTGTAGATATTACAATTGAAACAACATTTTCAGAAAGACATTTTCACCTTCCAGAAACCTTGCAGCAGTCAAAGTCTCATTCTTATTTTTCATGTGATAGTGTGAAACTCTAGTGGCATCATGCCATGCACTAATGAACACAAGCCCAAGGCAAGCAGCATTCTGGAGAACAGCGTTGGTGCATGTCTGGACATCATTCCTGTGCATATTGTCCGAGCATAGCTTGGCTTCCCCTGGCTTTTTGTATTACTTTTGTATTTTTCCACTTTGTAGCCTCTACTGTGCACTTAGTGAAATGAAGAAATTAAAGGAAACAAGGCCACACTTTGCGGTTTTACTTCTTCATTTTAATGATGACAAAAACCTTTGTCTTTCTTGTAACATGCAGTAAGTCAGATGACAAACATTTATATTTCTCAGCATTGGATATTTTTAATAAACCCTGGAAAGAACCTTTTTTCCATGATGAGTAGGTAGTTGCAGCATAAAAGCCACAGATAGTTTACCATAGTGCCTTGGAAATGACCCATACAGTCCTGGTTACAGGAACAAGGACTGTTAATCTACTGGTTTTGACTTACAGCTCAAGCTGTATCAGAACTGAATATGTAGGACATTTAAACTCATCACTGAAGTCCCAGTTCTGCACACTTTTAATCACATGCACATATTTACTGACAATCATTACCATGGATGCTCTCTAAACAGATTTCAGTTTTTTCATTTCATTTATATGGCTGAAAGTGGGTGATAGCTTTGTTGTAATAGAAAATTCAGATAAAAGAGATAATTCTTTCCTGGAAAAGATCACAGCAGATGTTCTTGTAAACTAGAATAGCTTTAAGGAGCCATTGTAACTTCAGCATGATCCAGGAGACTGAGCTTTCATTCTTAACCCACTCAGTTGTTAAAATCAGGCTTTTTATTTTCTTAAATCACTGGAGATTTTTAAAGTAATACTGTTGCATTTTCTTTCTTTAAGGTGATGATTTTAACTCTCAGACTGAGGCTCTATACTTGTCAACTGTCACAACTTCAAGAGACAGTGGAAGTGTGGATCCGTGAAAATTCTTCATATTACATGTCATAATTTGCACTTTTTCTATCAGTTTTTGGGGACTTCAAAAGAAAATTACAGCACTTTAGCCTTAGGATAAACAGTGAGTTCATGGGGATGTATTTGCACTGCAGCAATGGAAAGCTATGCCTCCTCAGATACCATATCTTCTTGAAGTTACTGAGAACTATGCTGTCACAAAATGTGGTTTACCACTGTAAAGAGGTCAACTGAGTGCCTTTGATAAACTTTACTTTTGGACTTACTGTTGCTCAAGGGATTTTTGTTTAAGAATACCTTTATCAACTGTTCCAGTCTCAGGAATGGTGCTTGGAGTAAAAAATCTTGTGGAATTTGAATAAAAGCTTAAACGCTATCTTATGTCAATTATCTTTCTGGTGGAAACATCATTACAAGCCCATATCCCATTTCCAAATTTTATAACACATTAAACTGGATATTACCACAAGTACCAACTTGCATCATTGTATCCACTTGTATAACTTGTATCATTGCAATATCTAGAAGCTATTTCATATCACAAGAGCAATAAGAGGTTGAAATTAAATCAAAGTACAGACAAAAAAAAAAAAAAAACCAAACCCACAATACTAGCAATAAATCAACATTATGTTGCATAAGAGAATTTTCATGTCTATATAAAACCTCACAAGTCAGTCAGGTAAAAAACCATGAACTGTGATACTATGCTTACATGACAGTAAAAGGTTTCAAATTTGAACTGATTATTCAACAGAATTTTCTTTAGGAGGAATTTGGAAGCAAAAGTGAAAATGAGGCTCAGACAGATTTCTGCACTGGTTATTTTTAAACAATAATTTTGCCTTTGTTTAGAAGAAGAAGCGAGTCTTTTCCATGCCAGGCTGCTTTGCTTCCTAATACTGGAATACCAGATTTGGAAAAACATCCAAAATGAAACAACTTTGCCCCTTAGATAGTCATGAGATAATGAAACAAGGGCACTGGGTAAGATCTGTCATATTGTTTTGAAAGACCAGTGGCTTTGGTAAACTCTGTTTTCTACTAAAATAGATGTAACAAGATTGAAGAAATGTGTTCACATGGAAGCTACTTCTGCTACTATCTTGCTCTTAGAAGAGTTCCAATGATTGAAGTTTTTTCATAGCACTTGCTCTGAATTTGGATGGGAACTGCTTCTCCAGTGTCACTTCACAGCTATTGATTCCAGCGAAAAGTGGACCTACAGTGCTGCTATGAGACCAGAATATCAGCATTGATCCTCTCTTGTTTCACCAGGACAGGTGATTTTAAAAAGCAGGACAGCCATTGATTTTACTTGTGGAGGAGGAAAATTAATCTCTCTCTCACATCATCTGTAATTTAATATCTATGCATTGCACCTTTATTTACCCATTTGTAGCCACTGGATTCAGCTGAGACAAATCTGCACTAGGCTTGCAATGTCCTATGTCCTTGCTGACATAGTGAATCAGGCACATGTCAGAGAAGCACTGGTTAGCTTAATACGGAATAGCAGCTTAGGAACTGTCCTGGCTTGCACCATTTAGCAATATTTAAAGGTCTCTGTCCCACATTCGTACTCTGCTGGGAACTATGATCCCTTGCTCTTCCATCAGCCATGGTGGAATCTAACCCACCGTGTTCTTGGAAAGACTTAATTTTGCATTTTTCTATTTATTTTTCCTCATTAAAAGTAAATAGAAGCAATAAAATATGAATTTATGTGGATGAACATAAATAGTACATTCAGTCTTTGCAATTAGGTTATGCTGATTATCATTGTTCCTTACTGAAATGGAAGTAATCTTGCCATTATTTTACACTTATTATTTTATTTCTTATATATGAGTAAATGCTGCCTTGGTGTGGGCAACAAAGAACAGATGTGGGTAGCATTTCCTGCCCATTTTACAGGCATGGCAAACATTACCCTGCTTTCCCTCTTACTGGATTGTACACTGAAAGGTTTCACCTGGCAACCCTAGGCAGAGGCAGCTCAGTTTTCCACAACATTCCTATGCCCTATCCACTCTATTTCATTATGAATGGAACAATAGCACTGTTTACTGCAATAACTATAACAATACCTAGAAATGTATTTTGGCTCATGAGTTTCTATTTTCACCAGCTCTCACAGGATACTTATGAAGCTGACTGTTACATCTGAGTATGTAAAAGTTAGCTTGTCAGCAGCTTGGCCAGTCTATTTATGTTTATGAATTCATGCAAGGCTTGTCTTTTACTGTAAACCACTGAGCATATGATACGTGTGTGATATGATGAGTCTCTGTTCTTTCTGCTTCACCTACTGTTTTACATGCTGTTATCTCCAAACAGCTGAAGTGAGTTTTCACATAGAAATTGCCTGCAAAATGCTTGAAGGGTTTGTGTTTTGCTTGTTTGGGGGTGCTCTCTCTGTGGTTTTTGTTGTTGTTGTTGTTTGTTAGGTTTAAAAAAAATAGGTTTTGGGGGTTTTTGTTTGTTTGGTGGTGTTATTGTTGTCTTTTTGTTTGGTTTTTTTATAGTTTTGAACTTTACAGTGAGTCATTATGTTGTTAGACCATAAAACTATTAGGTATTTTTAGAGTTTGACTGGTACTGTCATCTGGCATTTTTGAATGGCAGAGAGGATACCTTGTATAAGAAGATACTGTTACCCTTTCTGATATGTACCACCTCTATTCATCTCCATACATTTGTCTCAACTAGGTGCATGTCATAAGCAATAGCAACTTAGTGTACTGGAAAAAAGTAGGAATTCAGCTGAAGTTGGTGGAATGTTTTTGAAAATATGTGCAAATAATCTGCTCAGTGGTTTATAGTCACCTAAAATATATTTCACTGAACTTTAATGGTGACCATTTTTCACAAGCAAGTAGAGAGTTTATTTTCAGTATTGAATTTTTCTAGTATAGCTAAGGAAAACCTACTTTTCCAATCCACTAACCTGTTTTACTAAGTATGAATGAGGTACTTGCCATTTTAGTACAGGAGCAACTGGTAAAAGGGGTGATTAGTCTTTCTGTTCACTCCTCACCTCTGCTAGCTATCAGAGATTTTAAGGGCTTACAGTAGGTTTATTTCAGCTCTTTTACACCCACAACATTTTCAGTAGCTGTGAGTTGCAGCTTGGTCTGTGATCAAGAGCATAGCACAGAATAAGGTTAGCTGTTTGTACCAAGTCCACTTTCATACTGGCAGCAGCCTAAACCCATACCATTTTCTTGATTCCCATTACCATAGACATGTCTGGAAGCAACTGCTAACATCAAGAAGGTTAATATCTCTGGAAGAAGACTGAAGAGGAAGAGATATTCCTAACAGCCAATTGAAATGCCTTGCAAGACTTAGTCTGCATACTAGAAAACCACCAGCTGATTCTGACTATGGGAGCAATTGGAAATGCCTTTTACAATTTTGGACAAGAAACCCCTATTCTTTCTTAAGAAATACTGCAGTCATCTTTTTTTATGGAGTTTCTTCTTTCATCAGACAGAACCATATGTCTGCCACCAAAACTGATACCTACCTATTCCACAAATAGTTACAGAGAAAGGTTTTACAAGCCCCCTCCATACAGTAAAAGGTCACTTTTACAGGAATAAGTCTAACTTTTCTATTCTTTCTGTGGGGATGGGGATCAACTAAGCAATCTTAGAAGTCCTTTCTAACCCAAAATGATCTTTGACTGTAAACTTGTTGCTCAAGTTAACTTCTATGTCCTTTGTAATTATCTGATTTCTCTTTTACTCTGATGAACATGTGACCTTAAAGTATAGTCTTAGATCAATGACTATGATCTGGATCAACGAGATATCCTGGTTTTCCTCACCATATGTCGAGCACACTCTGTAATACGTTTTTATAGCTAGTGCTTGGCAATATTTCACTCAAACTCAATATGCAGCCATATGGTAAAAAGCAGCTGAAACAGATAAATGCACTGTGCAAATATTGTTAAAAGCTGACTTTAATGAACTACTGAGTTCACTTTTGGTTTTATTTTCAATGCAATTTTCATCAGCTAATGTTTGTTTACTCACAAGCACATTTCCTTAATGGGCTTTTCCAAGTAAGAAGTGAAACATCCTTCATGCAAAGTCTGTGTTAGAAACCACATTACATAAGGAATGATGCAGTAGAAATTTGCACAGTGGGCTTAAGCTCATTCCTTACATGGGTTTTTCAAGCAGTAGGGTGGGATGATTACCTGAGTCCCAGCTGGTGAAGATGGTGCTTTCACTGGTGAGGTGGGGAATCTATCTAGTCAGAAATTTGGGGTTCTAATCACAATATTGCTAGCAAGAGGATTTCTGTGCTACTGGACAACAGTATTTGTCTATAAAGTAACTTTTTTTTCAGGTGATACAATGAACATACTCCTTACATAAGTAAATTTGTTAGTCTTAACTATGCAAATCTGGCAAAACAGATACTAGGTATCAGTGAATAGATGTATAAACTTGAGAAAATCGCTAAGAAAGGAGAAGCCGTTGTTGAGAATAGGGAACTAGAGAAGGTCAACAAGTTTTTTTTTCAAGAAGGACACAGAATGTTTGTGAAAATAGTAAAGTCAGATGAAACACTGTGAATTCAAATAACTTCCCACTTCATATAAGAAGTTATAACTGCTGAGCCATGTTTCTGTACATTCCCCAAAATATTGCTGTCCTAGTGCACAGATCTCCCTCAGACTGGTAAGAAAACTAAGAAAGCAAGACAGCTTTCTGGAAAATTTATTGAGCAGAAGCAACATTTTAGACCTCCATGCAAAGTCTTTGATTTTCTCTATGTTTGCCATGCATGTACTTTATGCTCCTAAGGAGTTGTGAAGTAAAATGCAAGCCACAGAGGGTAGACCTTGCTGAGATACTGGGGAAGATGCCAGAGGTTAGACCCTGCTTCTGGTCTAGTTAAATGCTCAGATTCAGGCACAGAATCTAATTCACCAAACCTAAGAGATGAAGAATCTGGTGAATTCCCAGTTTCTTCTCTTAACATAGGTTTAACAGTTTAACTTCAGAAGAGACTATTCACTCCATTGTTTTAATTGTCACTATGTTGGAGTGTATGAAGAATGGTTTGGGTCTTTTATAAAAAGTCTCAAACTTCATTTCTACAGAGTTGTTCAGTTTTCCAAAACTAAAAATGCTTGTGACAACTGCTGCAAGAGGACAGAAGTTTAGAGCCCCTGTCCTCCTAGAACTTCCACTGGAGGAAGTTGCTTGGGTTGGGTAGTCCCAGGATTTCCACAATGCTGAGTTGTACAATTGTACCCCAGACTGCAGAGAGAAGGTGAAAAAAGTCCAAGGCTGGGAAGCATTTTCTTGCTTCAGCTGAGGCAGACTTGACCAAGGCATACTTAGATGTCTTGTATATATGTATATGTCTTCTATATAAGTAGAAGCCAGTTCAGGGCACAAGCCAACTCTGCTCTGACTCTTAGTCACTGCTGACCTATTTGGTCTCTAATGCTGTAGACACCATTATTCTGGAAGCTGATCTGTGCACTGGGATAATGTAACATTCCTAGTGCTTCCAGGTGACTGGTTATTGTCTAAAACATTGAGATTTAGTTGAGAATTTGGCCTGAC